AAATATCACGATTAAGAATTATTAATATCAGCAAATATTAACTTGGATTAAAAGAAGTCAGGGAATAATTAGCAAATAAATTCAGAAATAAATTCCTGTTACTTAAAATTAATACGCGAGGAACGATAAGTCAGTCGGAGCTGGCTTGGCGAATAAAGATGTGCCGCTAAAATTCAAGGTTTCTATAACATAAAAGCAGAATTTAACGACACGAGGTTGAATGGTAGCTTCAAAAGCGGTAGAAAGGTAGGAAATCCTAATTTTCAGATACAATCATTCCTCACAGAGTCTAAATTACTTTGATCGATTACAACCTCCTATTCTAAATTCTACCTGTATTTTCTTGCAGACTTTACCACGTAAATATCGAATAACCGATAAAAACCATAAACTGTGCAAAAATTATCGAAATATCTTAGAAAAATTTTCTAAATCTCATTTTTCTATACATTCCAAGTCATTTCGACTGATTATAATTCCTTTAATACAATTTTCTTTTAATATCTACCTTTTCGAAAAGCTATCCCGAATAAATGATAAATAACAAAAGACAGCAAGCTACAGGGTACTAGTCTTCTAAAATAACTTTGACGAATTTTTGAAAAACAGTTTTCGAATGTCTCGCGTGTCATCCCCGTGCAATCCGAAGACCTTTTCCGATTCTGAAATAACGATATCCGTCTGTTCGAAGGTAAAACACGTTGCAACATATCTACGTGTTGCGTTCTTAAAACAGCGATACGTTCATTAGAAATGCAACAACTATGGGATTTAATTGCGAGAAATGCGGTGAAGGTTGTCGCAAGAACATTCTGAACAACTTTTCTCAGAGAGTGACACACGCGTTCCTACCAATGCGGTCTTATGGCACCGATGACAATGGGAATAACGGTTAGTCGTTTCGCGAGAAGAAACACCGGATACCGGAGGATCCGCTACTTTTTCCTCCCAGGTAACCGTACCTGTGGACACGCTCTAAAAAGTGCGATCTCCCTGTAGAGAACATCGCATGCATCTCGATTGTCACCGTCAATTCTTCCTGCTTCCTCCGCGTCGTCGTTCTCGGGCCATCTTTTCTACCCGGTTAACCCTTTCGCGATCATCAACCCCCTCTATGGCTGTTTCAGACGAAACACTCGCTGCGCATGCGCATCGATCGTCGGAGTGGTTGAAGGGTAGACTAAGTATGCAGTCTTTCAAAAATTGATGTCTTTTTATCGTCTTAAAAAATTCTCTGTCTGCTGCTGCATCGAGTGTGAAAAACCCGAAGTCAAAATTCGGAAAACTCGCATCATTATGGTGCCTTAACGTTTGCTAGTGCCAGGTATTAATTCTAACTCGAACAAATATATTTGTCAACCAAATGTTTAACCTCAATTTTCTCAGAATACCAGTTTTGACTATGGTGGACAGTATAACGAAAGAACAGAATTCCCAATCACTGTGAAATTTTTTGAGCATGACAAGACACGTGACTCTAGCACTAATCAATGAATGGGAACCGGAAAATTCGGAAAATTTACAAGAAAATGGTTTCTTAGGAACAATTTGTCTTATTCTATCATCTTCAACTTCGTGATTTTTCTTCGAACTTGTTTGAAGCTCTAAACTTGTTAACTGTGGTTAGCACGACATTGTTTTCCTTTATTTTCTACATTTTTCCATCCTTTGCAGGTTTTTTCCCGGCTATTTCTGTTGTAATATTTTTTATCTGAATTTTTTATAATTAGTTTAAGATTAAAAGCAAATCTTCTTCCAATAATTTTCTATGAATTTTTAGAGAAAGGTTATGGCAGAGGTTATGTCATACTGATCTACCCCCTTAATGCTGTTACTATTTTAGCAATTAACAAGAAAAATTCGTTTAAATTAGATTCGATCATCTAATTATCCGTTGAAATGCATCCAAAATAAGACACTTAAAATAAGATTGAATTTAAAAAGAAAGGAAGAATTAGAAGAGTACAATATACAACAGAAGACCTGTAACGTTCTTCTTTTCGTCGATCAAGAGAACAAACTTTATCGCGTTCCTGTGTGCTGTCCTCATTGGCACATGGAACCCTTGGACATTAGACGGACTCATAGGGCTTCGCAGAGCCCTATGGTTTCAGAAGCTACGCTGTATACAAACGATACAACGAATCGATTCAGACTTTAATCAGAATTCGGAGAATTTTCGTATCTAGCATGAAAATATAAAAGACGAGACGTGTAAAGTTATTCGCACAGTAGCAGGAATAAATGAATTGCAGATTACAAATTGCGGAAGCTCAGACACTCAATAACGGATCTACCTCTTCTAACTCGATAGAGCAATCGATTCGACTTCTAACAGCCTTCAAGGATACCCATGTCCAATTTGAGACACCCTAATTAAACTTGATACATTTAATATCCTCGTTTAATTTCTTCCTTCGACTCTTCCAAGCGTGGACGACGAGGCATCCATCAAACTACCCCAAAGAATGTGAACACCTCGTTACGACGAGCGATTAAAAATAAAGCGACCTGTCGGCGCGTGTATTATCACAGACAAGAAGCCAATGACAGCGACTTATAAACGCCAGAGCGAAACAACAAGGAGGGGTTTTTGCCATCAGGGGTTAGCGATCGGTGGCATCGACCGATAACGCGTGAACCGTTCACGTTCGACCCGAATCCTAACGAAACGGACCCGCAGGCGACAGTTTAGAAAGGCGATTTTCATCGATACACCGTGTAACTTTTATTGGACGTGTTTCTGCACGTTGTTGCACACCTGCCTCCGAGACTTACGTGACACATATCCTGAAGGCAGGATGCGTTTGCACTATCAAGGATAAATCGCCAAACGTCTTTCGAAATCCATTCCCAACTATTTTTCTTCGCCAGACACCTTGTACACGCGGAGAAGTCTCGCGTTAGATATGTGACTCTGGACATTTGCATACTGATTTCATTGCTGTGTCGCTAAAGTCTCGTCTTTGATGTGGATTTTCATTTTCTTTCTATTCATTGAATGATTTATAATGACTTTGCGATTTGGTATTTTTTATATGATGAATGGTTCGTGAGGTGAAGCATGGTTGGGGTGTCCTGACGGGGATGATTCGTGAGATCATCAAGGTAGTAGAACAGTGGTTCTCGAACTAGAAGAAGTTAGAGTACTTTGACACACTTTGCACGTAAATTCAAGAATTTTGTATTGCGAATGTGGGTAGTATAGTTAATGCGAATTTCAAATCGCATTCTTAATTTTTAAATCCCTTTCGTGGCACAACTAATTATTCTTCGTGGTCACTAGGCACGGTTTGGAAACCACTGCGACAAATCATTACATTAGTAAATACAATACTGTAAGACAGTTATCAATTACAGTTTATTATATTATATATTACTGTTAGATAAAATGATTTACCGTTTTCTATGTACGCTTTTTTAGTTTATGCAATGAAGCTTCAAGTTGGGTGACCACTGATAGAATGTTTGTTAATCCTTTCACATTTCATAGACGAGATGACGCTTTGAACAAGGTAATAACTCGTGTGTCTTTACCAGCATTCGAGATATCTAGAAAATAAGGAATTCGGGGTGAATCGATTCGCCAGCCAATTCGTTCAGATACGAAAAATTCGTAATCACTTGAAGAGTAATTAATATCCGAGGAAATGCCAAATATCTGAAATGGAAACTGAATAAAACTAATTAAAGTTGCTTTCAAAAAATTCTACGGAAGATAAATAGAAAATTTACAGTGCGAGAAGTACAAAAGTAAAATTACTTCCTTAATTAAATTTCGTTCGGAACGATACGGTAATAAAAGGGGCGACAATTTTTAGTCACGTTCACCGTTTTCGTTCCCAGAGTTTCCTTCTAAATGTCGCAAGATGCAGATAAAACAGGGGGTCCGGATTTCTAATAAAACATTCTTGACGATCCAGTAAAGATACTTACAACTAATAATATTTTTATCATTCTCGCATTACGTTGCCACCCCTTACGTAACACAGATAAATCCAAGTGTACGTATTTCTTTTTGATTTCAATCTTTCGGCAACTGTGTAGTAAGCGATTCCATGCAAAAGGAAACGCAAGTTGTAATCGTTCACAATTGCCATACCTTAATCGAAATAATCGATAATCTTCCGAAGATTATCCATATGGCGATGATTAATCGATCGTTTCATTAACGATGGCTGGAACATAAATTTTAGTACTTTAAATAGCAAACGTGGTTTGTTATTTCCTCGATAGAACAAGTACGCAGTGTGCAACGTTATTGTCGTCTAAAATGGAAGTCAACAAGTGTTGCTCAATTACCTATAGTGCATATTACAGCATACATTCTACCAACGTTGGATCAGTTGGTTTGTTTTTCATTCAGTTTTTAGACAATTACCGCATTGTGCAAGACCGTACAAGTACGGATGTGTACAATTCCATTTGACTCGTTTACAACAAATATCGCGATGTTTCCCAACGGCTATTCTAAACGGATAAAATTCCAAACCATCGAAAAATTCTACATCGAGAAAAACCAAAAATGATAAAATTGTATCGACGAGTGCGTCTTAAAGAGTGTTTTAATGCTTCGTTAGTTTCAAACAAACTGTGCACGTATATTACACGGAACGCTTGGCAGTAGTCGAGTTTCGCGAGTATTAACCCTTTCGCTATTCAATTTTCCCGACTGAAATATTTCGCGTTCGAACAGCTTATTTTAAGATCATTCGCGATATTATCGACGAGAAAAAAAAATCTATCAACAACTCGCAAAGGTGCGTATACGAGAATAACCCGAATCGAAAGCACGTTACGAAACAGAATCGCCGCCATGTTTCCATTTTTCCCGTTCGAAACGCTGCCTTAATAATAGGTTATGCAAGGTGGCTTAAAACTTACGCCACTATAGTATATAATATAGCGCGTGGGTAGAAGGGTTTAAAAAAAGCCGCACGTTTATCAAACGTGTTTACATAAAGACGATAGAGAAGAAATAAAAAAGCACGGAGGCTCACCTTGGCGACGAGCTGTTGGCTAGTGTGTACGTCGTAACATTGGTACAGAGCGCTCCCCTCGGCGGGTCCGAGAAGCAGATACCGATCGCCGAGTATAGTGGGTCCATGATGATCGGTAGGCAACGGTTCGTAACTAGGGAGGACAACCGCTGGTACCGAGCTCGTCTCGTCGCTTGTCGGCTGACTGATGTCCTGATTATTGTTCGGACTGACCAGGAACTTTCCATTGTTGGTACGAGCCACTTGCAGATGAAGAGAATGCTGCCTGACAGCGGCTGTCACTCTCATATTGTGCCGTTTTCACGCACTCACAGTTTTACACACTCGCGACACTACTGCCTTCCCTGTCTTCTTTCTTTTAAAATACAGTTCGTTCTAACGAAACGGAAAATACGTCCGGTTTCTCCAGTTCGAATTTTATAATTATTCGTAATTATTGTCAACAACCGTTAAAGCGGATAAGCTTTTTTTGAACACACTTCGCGCCACAAGATTACCAAACGCGGTAGCTGCGACGGTTATCGATTGTAACGGGCCGATTTCAACGCTTTTAAGCTCTGTCGGTATAAACGCGTGTATAGCTACGAATTAATTATTAGATAAGAATATCACTTGTGCTTGGGCCCACGCAGCGTTGCTTCGGGTTACCGCTGGGTCCTTGGACGGAGATCTTCGTGGGTGACAATCGGTCACTCTTTACGAAAAAGCTCTGTAAACAAACAAAAGAAAATGTTTTCGTGTAACGTGACATATTTGAAATTAGGAATATTAAAAGTGTCTTAAATTTCTTTCGTTACATTCCGTTATACATTTTCGATGTTTTCCTTTTTTTTTTTTTTTAGGTTTTGTTAAACGGTACGCGTTCATAATAGAACTCGAACGACAAGGGTTCCCGTTCATTAACTCTATGTGATTCACGGACAATTTCAAAAGACGACGTTTCGACACTCGTCCTGCCTTGTGCGCAATTTCTATAGAGAAGGGGACACTGTAAGGTCAGGGATATCGCTGTAAGGCGGTCGTTGCGCCGTAACGTTCTACACAGCCAAGGAAGCCGGTCGCAGAAAAATTATAAAACGTGATGCAAGAAAATCCCGAGGGCATTATTAACGCCACTAATGGTATATCGAATTTTTATTGATACCACCTCCCCTTTATTTACACCTTGTTGCGCAGAAGAAACGATAAATTTGCATACCGTTCATTATCTCGTTCCAGATATCGAACACACATCGGGGTACGCATATTTCGGTATCGCCATTCATTTTCTAAATTGTTATATCGTTTTCGTATTTGGTACTAAATTAAACAGCGACATCTCTCGTGTGCTATATTTCGAAAACGTTCGTAAAGTTTTACGACGAAGAGCAACGAAATAATAATTACGAGTTATGGGTTCAACGAGCGATTGTAATTTCGAGAAGCAACCTTCGCGAAGATTGGTTCCACAACTACGATTGCCGAAATTCGATATGTAAATTCAGCGTCCTTGATTGCACGCGACTCGAGATACGCCGCGTACGAGTCATACGAGAGCTTGAAATTAAGAAAAAATTATAGGTTACCGTTCGTGTTTGCTCTCTATGAAACATACTCGTTTGGCTGTAATTTCTGCTTATTAAAATTTTCGGATAATATCGAATCGACGGGTTAACCTTGAAAACGAAACAGGTATACCGGTCGGTAATAAGAAATTCCAAGTCCAGAGCTTACTTGATCATTCGACTTTATCGTTGATACGAATGCCGACTATCGATATTCGTGAAATCGCGCCATTGCGATATCTACGCACTTGCGCAAAACTCCTACCGTTCCAAAGATCAGGGATGTGTATGCGAGCACGTTTCGCCCCCTGGTTCCCTCTTCGTGAAATACTTCAGCCTCGGTTGCGATTCTAATCCATCTCTGTTCGACGCTTAACCGAAACACGATTTTTATCTTCCATCGCTGGAACGTTCAGAACGGTAAGGTCAGCGGCGTAGCGACAGGTGCGAGAGCCCCGTTCTGGAACCGCACAAGCGTCCCCTATATCCACGTTTATTGAATGAACGAGAATCTGACGAAATAGCGAGCTCGGAATTAGTAAAGGATTGCGTCCACACGGTAGCGCGTGTCGAAACGCATGTATACGTCCGCACGCACACTGGCAAGCAGATAGCAGATATCCTTCGGTAAGGTCAAAATGGCGGAGTTCCACAGTTGTCACGGCGATATTGCGGGCACCGGTTGCATTAATAGCGCGCGAGAATATGACGCAATACCGCGAAATAAATTGCCTAATACGTCCGCTCACGCAGTCCGTGACTTTGCGTCGATGGATCACGCCGGCCTCTTTAACGATTTCCGATATGAACGAGAAAGAAAATAGATGACAACAAATTATGTCCTTCGAGAATATTTCGAATTAGGTTACGAAAATTTATTCGAATACGTAAGTATCGGACGGAAATATTCGTAAAGTTTTCGGTCGTGACGTTTCGATACGCGGATTATGAATTTCGATCGTCGAATCCGTTAGCTGTAGTAAAATTGTGAAATCGTGAAATAATTCTGGCAACGGCGAGATAGGAGAGCTAACAAGGGGTGCACACTGATATCAGGGCAAGCGCACCAAAGTAAATATACGATAGAACGAAGAGACTGACATCGATCCAGTACGCGTCGGTAATAATCACTGCACTTTGCACTGTATTCACGCGAGGCTGATACGCAAAATACGTGTAGAGCGGCACACACTTTGCGATGTTTTTCCTCTTAATTTTTTTTTTTTTTCCCCCGAATACGTTTACTCGAAGCTAGAAGAGCAGGATGAACACATGTGTTACCTTTGTATGTTCTTCCTGTTGTCGCCGTACGTTCCTGAACGGGAGGCTGGAGTGGAGAAACGTTCAGATGTAATTCGAGTTTCTCCCAAAGACGTTGTTGATAAACCGCCGTCTGTTCGAAAAGCGAACCCCCGAGTCCTATCGGGCGTATCGGTTTTTCGAATAGCGCGCGCTTCGGATAAAACCTGGTCTTCTTTCTGTTAGTTCTACCTGGATGATGTCGGTAGTGGTAGTGGTGGTGGCGGTGGTGGTGGTGGTGGTCTTTCTGTTCACGGTTCTCGCGATTCGTCTTTCGACCAGCCGTCGTTGTTACCGTTTCTCTGTCGTCACACAGCGTTCTGTGGACTGGATAATTCAAGAGAAACAAAGAAACTTGGAGAGCTGAGCGGTTACGAACGAGGGAGACTGTGCGGTAAGATTTATATCCCGCGCAACGGACGGTCCAACGTTTTGGGCCGGCCCTCCGCTCAGAAACGACGGCGGCAGCAGAACGAACAAGCACAGACCGATCGCGCCATTGTGCAGCAAACGACTGAAGCTACGGTCGCCGCCTTGGCATAACCCGACAGAATCGGTAGGTACGTAGAGGGGAGTGGGGAGCAAATGCGCATGCGCGTTTCACGGACTTTACAGTGTCGGCACAAGAGCTCGCGTCCTACGGTGCCCTCGTGTGTTTTTCGTGCTCGTAAAAACGTGATTAAAATTTAGAAGGCAAGTTACAAAGGAGGACAAATTCTTTTCTTTCGTATTTCCTGTGGTAAGATACCCCCTTTCTTTTTAACTATCGGATAAAAATACTGTTCAAAGAAATAGACACATTCTGCGCATGACGAAAAGAATTATTCTTTCCGTTTTACACGCTGCGAGCGTGTTAATACCTTTTTATTTTCTTCCGAGAAAAATATGTTCATTGAAAATCTCGATAAGAACACGAATACAGTTTTTCTGACGTATGATTCGCGTTACTAATTCAGCATTTCAATACCTGGCTTTTGCATATCTCGCGGTATGCTTTTAATTTACATTTAATCTGCATCAATGATGCAACATACGATGGAGTTACAGAACATTATAGAACAATAGTGCAACGGAATATCGTGGAAGACTCGGTGTTTCGGCATACCAGAAAAACGGGCCTTAAGAATTAGCGATGCGCTACTGGCCACATCAGTGCGTACGTGGGCATCCTAAACCGCGACACGCGGTCATGTAAACTTTTTGTACGTTTACAAGAGATTATCTGTGACATTACTTGCTTGTGTATAAATCTATGCGACGCTACCACGTATTGCTGATTATATCGATCGAAATTCTGCATTGGAATTTCTCGCTTTTCGATACCGGATTACATTTTATCGCGAAAACGGAAATAAGCAATATATTTATCGGTAAGAATGTTTGAGGTTAACAAGTGGGGGTACGATTGGGCGATCTTAGATTCTTTTTCGATCAACGATAGGTCCACTCGTGGAAGGATAGAGACTTTCGAGGCGTTTGTTTCGCATAAATGACGTGCCCTTGACCTACCTTAACGTTCCTTAGCAACCGCGGGAGGCACGCTTAAACAATCGGTGGCAACTAAGGGCACGTAACCTCACCCACGTACTCCGCTATGACCGTGAGAAAACGTATCATCGTTGCACGTATTTTTGCCATAAAGAAATAGAAATACGACGCTGCTCTTGGATCATTTCTTGAAATACACTAACCTCCGTGGTTTTCCTCTTTCATAGATGCGAAAAAGAAAAATACTAATCTCGAAGGTAACCCGATCGAATAACCACGTTATTTAACAATCCGTATTTTTTTTATTATCCGATAAGGAATCTCGTTATTCTCGAGGTAATTATTTTTATCTTTACCCGAATAATAAATCAAATTTGTGGCAGAAATGATCAAAATTGAAAAATAAATTTTATTTTCAGATTCCACGACGATAAATCCCTAGTTTCGTATGCAAATTAAACACGTCATTTATGCTCGAAATTATCTCAAGAGCTGCATCGAAAATTTCCTATGAAACTTCTCACCTTGAAGATCGCCGTACGTGCGAGCAATCGTACAAATATTTTTCTTGCACCGCATTATCTTTCAACCTTTCGACGCAACGTTTGAAGTCGCACGTCTACCGAAAAATTAAATCGGGAACAAAGAGTCGATCGATGTTTGCCGAATTTTAACGACTTCGGAGCGAAATTTTAAAAATCGGATTTATTTGCGATATTTACTATATTTACATCGCACGAGTGACTAAGACGTTAAGATATATCGGTCGGTGAAGAAGAGCCCTGTTGCGTTGCGATATACAGCAAAACGTTTATTGTAAAATGTATATTTACGCACGTATACACACTCGCCTGAAGAGATACAGCGGATTGCGTGGATCACGGGCTCGAGCCGGAGCAGGCCTTCGAATTTCCAAACGAGCTCGGCCCCAGACCGGATATTGGCCAACCTAGTGCTTTTTTTTAACGCACTCGATTCTGCCACTTACGTGGGTGCCGGTTGCTTCGTTTCGCCGCGCGATGATTCAAGCGGACCATGTATGTCAACGAAAACGGCGGTTCGATGCGTTCCGGAAACGATAGATCTCGATAAATACGCCAATCTACGATAACTCGTTCGTCGAACGCGTTTTAACATTGGTTACACAAAATTTACGGAATTGAATCATCTGAAATTTTTCATTTTTTAGAATGATTAATTTGAATATAAATTTTATTGTTAATACCTATTTATAGTTTGGCTGATTAGGGAAATTTTGATTTTAGTCACGTCGGACGCGTTTTCACATTAATTACACCAAATTTGTACAAACGTAGACGTATTTAGAATAATTAATTTAAATAGAAATTTTATAGTTTGGTTAATTAGTGAAATTTTTACTTTTAATCACTTTTATACTTTCATCCTGCCATTTTAAGTGTTACTATTTATGCGTGCTATGTTTAGGTATAAAATTCGTGTCCTTAGAAAAATTAATTTTGTCTCCTGTTGAGATAAAAACGTAATCTTTATCTATTTATTTTCACGGTGTCTTTTTAACTATTGTTGTTATTTATGTATACTCTGTTTAAGTATACAATTGAGATCGGTATTTCCGATTACTTAATAAAATCGACAAGTATTCGATGAATCGATCGAACGAATGTCATCGATTGCGTGTCGAGAAATGCGATGCTTTTTCTCAAACTCCTTTATTCTCGTGTATTCTATTATTCGTTAATGAGAGCATAGGATATACGAGTGAAATAATTTTATCATATAGGATATTGCACGCAAGGACAACAGGGCGGGGCAATTGCATTGAAACGGATAAAGATAGAAAAAAGTTTCGTAAGACGGAATTAAATGGTTTCAAGTGATACATCATGTAGCGTACATGCTTTTACAAAAGTGGAGGCGTTTCGAGTGAGATTTCAAGGTTAGCTTTATTTTTCCAAATGAAAACACGCAATAATCGGCGTAGATTTCATTTCGTAGGAAAAGCGAGTATCTAAACACTCGTATTCGGTAATTATTTGTTTAGAGGAAGCGATACCATAATGTTCAATATGGTAAACACTATATAAATACGCTTCGTGCCACTATCTTTCGTTTCGGTATCTTCCTTTTTATATCTCTTGTTTCCCGATCGCTAAATTTTGATACAGTTATAGCACGTGATGTATTATATTCGAAGCCATTTAATTTTGCTTTATGAAATTTTTATCTACACCCAACTTATCTATATTCCACGTCGATCCTTTCAGATCGCGGAAACTTTGAAGCAGAAATAACATTATATAATATTAACCCCTTGCACTCGAGAGGGCGACCTTCAGCCGCCATTTCATAAAATTTGGAAGATCGATATTAATTGATATATTAAATTCGATATAATCTAACAGTATACTAGTTATCGAAATGAAATAATTCTACGTAGTAATTATTATACGATTCCTTACTTACTGCTCAAAAAATATCGTCATCTTTACAGCAAAGAATCTTCGAATTTCTATTCTTCTTTAGCTAAAAAATCATCAAGTGTAAGGGGATAAAATAAAAATCTTAATTACAATGCGTTGATAAAATACAACGAGATGAATAAATACGTAACATCCAAGTGACATGGCGCTAGCCTAATTTTCTTAAACACGCGTTATCTTCGTCTTCTTTGTCGCATTTCGTATTTTACACGATAAAGATTATTGTCGTTGCGATTATTTTATTGCATCATCTATCAGCTGATCTTCGTAAAGTACACGTTACGTAGTTACATTCGATTTCGATACTTTTTTGCTCAATATCTAGCGATTCTCGTGAAAACGTGATACGTACGATCGAATAGAAATCGTACGATTAATTTGCATCGTGAAATAGAATCGTCACATGCTTACCATTATCGATCGCTTTATATCTCGCGTATCTTGCTCGATCGAATGCAAGCGATCTCGATAAAATCGTGGAAGATCGATAGCGATCTCTGGCGTCCTTCGCCGGTCCTCGTGAATTTTTCCATCCCGTGGTTCAGATTGCCAATTATTTATCAATTTGCAATTAAAAGGCTGTTTGCGATTAAAGCCCAGATTAAATATAGAGCGTACAAAGCTTATCGTTAGAAACAATGGAAGGAATTTCATTGGAGGAACTCTCTTCACGGATTTCCTTTGTCTCCTCGATATTTTGGGTGCACGTTGAACTTTCCGTTCGAGTCATCCTTTTCGTGATTTTTGAAACGAGTGACAATGTGAATCATCGATTACATACGCGTAGCTAGCATAGAACGGAAATGAAAAATTCCAGCCGGATATCGTCAATCGAAACTATCATTTTTAGCCACGTGACGACGTTTGATAATGACCGTAATAATAGTACATAAACAAATAATAAAAGCTCGAGTAAATGATAATAAGCAAATAATAACAAGTAATACGTAGTATGTTAGATATCGATCTCTTCGCTATTAAAAACGTTTGTCGATTAACGAACGAGTTAAACAAAGAGATACGAAAGAAGTGCAAAAGGAAAAGAGAATAGAGAATACAAAATGGCGTAAGAGGAATAATACGCTATTATTGCAAGCTCGCAAAGCCCCGATTAATAGATTAAACCTTCGTTTCATATCGGATTATTCCGTAAGTAGATTTTCCGAGGTTTAAATTTAAAACTAGTCATAATGAAAGTTTTAGCGTCCCACTGCTTTTCATATTAGTCACGGTGTTTGGAAAGCAACCAGCTGACTTTAACGAGCGTAACCACGAAACGAATCATGAGGCAAGGGATTAAGGGACATTTTTCCTTTGTTCGTCACTTCGACGAAACTGCTTGGACACGCGATCCGTGGATCTTCCGTGCTGGATCACACTTTCCTCGCTAGCCAAAATGACTGGCTTCTATTTTCACTGACAATGAAGCTATGTATCTATTTTTGTCGAAGTCTACGTTGATTTTATTACAGAAACGTGCGTTAACACTTGTTCGATTTCATCATATCGCTGTAATCATCTGTGTACTTTTGTATTTATATCTGTATTATATACTTATTATCTATATTTAGGGATTTATTACAGATTGGAAGATCTAGCGTT